CACTCCGGCCCACAGACCTTTCTCTCCTCCAGCTGCTGCTCCACTCCCAGCTCCTGACACTCCTTCTGCTCCCTCTCTTTCTCCGGGACTCCCTCTCACATCCATCTCTCCCGCCCAGAGTCCTTCTACTTTGTCACCACACCCAGTCAAACCTCCTCGCTCCTCCATCACCAGCCTCTCCATTGACCTGCAGGAGGCAGAGGAGGAAGAGGAGGGGATAAGAGAAGAAGAGAAGAGGATGAGAGAGATGGAGCAGAGGAAAACAGAACAGGAGGAGGAGAAGAAGAAAAGGACAGAGGATGAAAACTTGAAGGAGATGGAAAGGAGGCCTCTGAGGAGAGAGAAAGCAAAAGAGGAGAGTCAAGAAGGAGAGCAAGAAGGGATGATTCAGCATCGTTTGGAGGAGACCAGCGCCTCCTTGGCTGCAGCTCTGCACTCTGGAGAGCATCAAATCAAAGAGGAGGACCGACCAAATGAGTGAGTATTCATAAATAAAGAACTTCAGACGGACGCATGTCGGCGTCACTTTTAACTTTAATCATCATATAAATTGTGTGAGATGAATGACTTTACAAACCAGGGATGTTGCAATAACTTCCTGCACACATAATGCTAACCTCACAAGGAATGGCCTACCTGTCTCAGAAGTTAGCAAATTAATACAGAACTAATACTAGTATTATTAGTTACTACTAAAGAAAATGGCAAAAAGTCCTACTACCACATTTAAGGTCATGCATTGCTGGGCGTAAAAAACTCGACCTAACCTGAGTGTGTCCCAAACCCGTTACTGCTTTTGTTTTTAGACCACCATTTGAGTAAACAATGTCCCATTTTTAGATTTCACTGCATATCTTCCAGCTCCGCTTGTTGCAGCCGCAGGGTGAGTCAAGTCTAAATCTTCTGGGACGTTTTTCTCAGTTTTACAAAAACGATCCTATCAAGCATTGTGGCTCAGTTTGTTCCTGTCTGATCAACTTGAGTTCTTTTCTTACTTTACTCCCTCTGCTCCTGAACTCAGACTATAATCAGTAGATTAACACAATCAGATATTCTCATTTGGTTTTCTCTGCGCTGTATATATTGCAGGCTTTTTAAATGTGCCACTGAGTGGGCGATATGGATTTAAGGTTTTGTCATAATATTTTTGATACTACTGTTATAACAATAAAAGTGACAATAATAACTATATATAACTTACGTTTTAGGTAACTGTATGGCTGTGACTGTGTCACAGCAACTAGAGCCAAAAATAATGCTCTTGAAAAATATTTGCATTTGTTATGCACTTCATTAGGACACCATCCACAAAACAGTGTGTTTGTATCATGAAACTGCACAGTAACTATATTTTCATATTTATTGAAGCATCTGTTGAAGAAACAGTGGAGAAAACAGTACAAGTAACAATCCCAGCAGTAAGAACAATTTGGGGCAATTTCAAACATTACATGGACGTTATTGTGACAACGATAAATCAAAATTGTTATCATAAGAGATTAATCACAATAAATGATACAATAAATGCCCATCCCTACTATCAAGGAAATATTTCTGTTCCGACCGAGCCTGCATTTTGGTTTAGGTGGGACTTGGGCCATGATTCTAATCATTACTGGGTATATCTGTCTCATGTATGGTATAAAAAAAGTCTTTTCATTTCTCATTATAATTGATTTGGTTTTGGTATACCAGCTCAGAGTTACTGCACAGACTCAGGAAGTCTTTTTATCTATCTATCTATCCATCCTACAGTTAATCTGATCACTGTAGAAAATATCTGAAAGAAGTTAGAATGAACATACGAGTGATGAAAACGCTGGAAATTTTAATGTAGGAGAAAAGGAAATTGTGCTGGAGATTTATTCCTGGTATTAGTGTTGGAACTTTATGAATTTTTCCCATCTTAATTCTGTTTCCAGCAAAAAAGCAACAGTCTCCATCCTGGATGACATCGGCAGTATGTTTGACGACTTGGCAGACCAGCTGGATGCAATGCTGGACTGATCTCCTGTCCACAAGCTTCTTCCAACAAGGTCCTCCCTTCTGACCCCTCATTGTGTGTTGGTGTACAAAGAAAAGTCTTTCCCAAGGCGAAATGCTGGCGTGCAAATTTTTTTGTAAGAGCTTCCTGAGTATCCGCATGCAAATTCCAAGGAGGGGGAAAGCTGTTTGTTGCTCCTTCTCTTGCTGCAAAGACAATGCTCCCACACAACCTCTGACCTCTGCAGCCCACATGATGATGCCTCCGCCCAGGCCCAGAGGGCTGCGTGGACCGAGAAGCACAATCTTTTTGCGCATCCTTTTATGTGATAAGCATATTGCTTGCCAACCTAAGCACAGAAATAGTCTGATAGGCAGATTGATAACCTGATAGAAAACAGAGGGATTTTTTTTTAAAAAAAAGCACACAGAAAGAAAAGCTGCTGTCTGAGTTCTCCAATCTGAAAAAAGAATCCCTTTTTTTCCAGATGAATTGTAGCCTCCTGCTCCTCTGTGTGAGTGGAGGACTCCTGCCCCGCGTGTCGTCTCTGTTCATGTTGTCGTCGGTGCCGTTATCGTGGTTGTTTCGAGTGTGTGTATTCCCTGCTTAAACGCTTGAGTCACCACCCATTTTGATCAGACAAACTAAATACAGATGTGTCCCATAAATTTATAAGAAATGCAAACAAGCGCACGCACACACACACACACACACACACACCCACACACCCACACACACCCACACCCACACACACACACATTGGTGGGACTTCCATTATTTTAAATGTTGCTGGTGGTGTTGCTGTTTATCTATCATGTGTGGAAGGATTGCTTGGAAATAATTCATCAGAAATACATGCAAGTACACAGACAAACATACACACATATACACACACACATGCACACGCCTGCACACTCACACTTATGTGGTATATCCTTGTGTGCTGCTGCAGTGAATGGTGTTTTCAGAAGATATATTTCAATGCTTTACATGGTACATACAGTAAAAAAGACACATAGTTTATAGTAGACCTGGATATTTGAGCTGTTAGAGCTCCATCTATTGTCGGTTAGTGAAGTTTCCCTTATCTGACCTACTTCTTCTTCCCACAGCCCTTATTTGAAATCTGTGTCTAATTAGGTAAATCTACAAATCTCTGTGCCTTGGCAGTGTACTTTATATATTTTTTTGTTTTTCTTTCTGTCTACTATAATGTTTTGATCTCTTTAAACCCTCTCTGTCTGGTTTGTCTGGAAGTAACTTCTCAGTTATTTGTGAGTCTTGTACCCCTGAAGTTTAATCCTCCATATCTATGAGCTCTATAAGCTGTAATAAGTTTGGCTCCACTCTTCCAAGAGTTCTCTGTTTCCAGTGATTTCCCCCAGACAACAGACCAACCACCAGTTTTCATCCCAATGAAGAGTTCACTTGTATTTTTATGCTCTTTGAAAACAGAGATATATTTGAGAAACTGTTCTATGTGAATAATAATATTATTAAGAATTCTAACTATGATGATGATCATGATGGTGTTAAACATTGAATGGGCTGAGCTGATTTGAGCCTGTATATTACTGGTTGAGTTCTGGATGTGTTGTGACATGGTTGGGTTCAGTTGGGTGTTTCTGCTGTGATGATGCATTCCTGTACACATGTCATAAGAATAAATGTGTAAATTATACCTGATGTCACTGTTGAAATATCTTTATTTTTGACCTAGTACTATTTCATGTTTTTTTCAACAGCTTTATTAATGCGTTCCACAAGTTTCATAGAATAATTTCAAATTTTGTCACATTATAATCTTAAACTTCAGTCTGTTTCATTGGAGTTTTATGTTATTGATCAACACAAAAAGTGCCTAATTGTGAAACGAAGAAAAACATTTGAATTTTTTTCATACTCTTCAACAAATAAAAGATTAAAAAGTGTTATGCACACGATTGCCCATTCTGTCTTCTTACGCTAATACATTTAAGTAGTATCCAAGTCACATACCTGATAAATAGCCTGTATTTAAAGTAATCTCAGTGTAAATAGAGTTTCTATTAAACGATATCACAAGCTCACATAAGCTGCAAACCGACCAAGAGAAGGTCTTCTGCCTATGCAGGCCGGCCTGGGAGAAGCAATCAGAGAAGCAGCCATGATGCCCGTGGTTGGTAGGTAGGTAGGTATCTATCTATCTATCTATCTATCTATCTATCTATCTATCTATCTATCTATCTATCTATCTATCTATCTATCTATCTATCTATCTATATCTATCTATCTATCTATCTATCTATCTATCTATCTATCTATCTATCTATCTATCTATATCTATCTATCTATCTATCTATCTATCTATCTATTTTGTAAGGTTATTTTAAGATCTTAAATTAGAAGTACAGTGGGATGTTTTAGTTACACAAGAAGAGTTTAAAGTTTAAATGTATTCTGCAGCTCATGTGACCAAACCAGCTGAGGAGGTGAAAAGTTAAAACACTAAACATTGTCTCATAAACAAGCTCTAGTTTTGTAACCTGAAGATCACTCAGTCTTCTTAAAAGACACAGTCTCTCAGAACAGTTCTTAAAAATATAACCAGTGTTTTCAGCAAAGCTGAGCTGAATGACCCAAGTATTAAAAAATTGCCATAGTTTCAACAGGTTGGGCAGAGAAACTGGAACCATTTTGAGGTCTGATTTAGTAATGTAATTATACTAGACCCCCACACCACTAGAGGCAGTAGCAGGCCTGAAAACATGCGGCTAAGGAACAGGTTTGGAAGCACACAGAAAACTACAGAATGTTAAAAACTGTGAGCTGCGTTGAAGTAAATAAAAGATAGAAGTTCAAATACATGGAAAGAGAGAAAATGCTTCCTAAAAATGAAGACATATCACAGATTTCAAAAGAAAATTAAAACAGAGACCGCGGATAATATATGAAATAGCGCCCCCTCCACTGTCAGAGTGCAACATTCTATAACACAGGAAGTCCCGCCCCTTCCTATTCTACCACAGCGAGGGGCGGGGCTTGCTACGGAACCACGAAGTTAACTGCAAGTTAAAGGTAAAAGTTCCTTCTTTTCGCAGCAACATGGAAGGAGAGAGGACCAGTTCCTACAAAGAGCTATTGGCTTCTAAAGGTTACTACAACTTACTGCTGTATAGTTTTCCTTTCTGCCGCGGGTTACCGCGCTGAAAACCGGTGACTATTCTTCACGTGTTCAAGTCAACGTGGTGTTGGCACGAGGCTGTGCTGCTAGAATGTTCTCACGATTCCTTTGCAATAATATCTCGTGGTTTCATTTACTTTTAAAATATGGGCTTGAACGCGTTTTAGTGTTTGATATGAAACCCGGTCAACTTCGGTTTTCCGCCTTTGATCAAGTTTGATAATGGATTAAATGGCTGTTTGTCTACTCTTACCTGGGCTTTGAAATGTATAATCAGTGGAACTCAAAGAATTGTTTCACCAATATTCTGCATAGATGATTCAGTGTCTGTTTCTTAGCTGCTGCTGCCGACGGTCTAATGTGTTGCACATAAACCGAGGGCAACACCATGGGTCCCTTTTCCACCGGCTCGGCTCGGCTCGGCTCGGCTCGCTTTCAGAGCTTTTCAATCGGGGGTTTTTCGGGGCTGGACCTGCTTTTTAGGGCCCTGCTTCGGAGCAGTCAGCCGGGCCGGTGTCATAGATTAACTTTCTGCACCGCAGATGTTTCTAAATTGTAGGTGGCTGTGTTAATGCCTGTTGAAAAATCCTACTTGTGTGACAAAACCGTTTGAAAAACGTTACTATAAATCCCATTTGAAACAAATAAGATTTATAGTAACTAGAAAATTACACAGTCAGTCACCAAACTCTGGTGCACAGAGGGGACAGTGGGTGCACTACACATTAATAAATAGCAGATTGCAGCTTTTGTATCAAAATCAGATGTCTTATCTGAATACATGAAACATCAACAAATGAATTTAAAGGTATCTTGTGCAGCACAAAGTTCAGTTTAATATGTTTTGTTTTACCATTACATAAAAAGTAACTTGTTATTTAGTAAATGATTATGCTGAGTTGTATGTACATCATGTCGTTGAAAAATGCCCTTTTCTCCAATAGGAAATTATAACTCATGGCCAATGTTCCCTCTAATGTTTCATGTGTCTGGGCGTACACACAAGCTTCCTGGGCACACTGAGGACCACTGTGAGCATCATCAGTGTACACGGCGTGGCCACACACAAGTATCATAAATCTGGAATCATAGAAAGTTGCATGGCTTATTAAAAAAATCAAATTACATCAGCAATTTTCATTTGTTTGCTTTTAATTTAAGTGATTTGCTCAATTAAAATAAAAAAAAGAAAAGAAAAGAAAACATTGCTGTTCATGAGATGCATGCTATAAGTAAGAGTCCTGCTTCAGCCACGGTGAGATCTTAGAAGAAGTGCATTTCTTTTTTTTTACTTTGGCTTGGTGAGTGGATGTTCCACGTAGACATGATAAGGTGATGGCTTTTACGTTTCTTAACTCTACCGCACTATTCTCACCTGCACGGCGCATATGACCAAGGTACATAACCCACGAAAGTGAACGATACGTACCATCATCCTCGGATGATGGTACGTATCGTATCATTGGCTGGATTCCTGTCACTCACTAAGTTCGATCGCAAAGTAGTACGGAAAAAAATTTTTATTGGTCCATAGTCAAAACTGATGTCTGAGCTCAATGTCCACTTTACGTTGGACTTTATTTTATGCGCTACATAGATTTTCTTGTGCGTTGAGAATATGTGAGCAGTGCGCGATTGCGCAGGCGCAGCTTAGAGGGAACATTGGTCGTGCCTGGTCTAAAAAAGACCGAAAAAATATTAAATATCCAAAAATTTTGTAATACTTCCTGCTGCCTCACATTTTTGGACTCTTGTCAGTATAATTGATCTGATGTTTTACATTTCTTTTTAAAAATGTTCTGCCTAGTCAAGTTTTGTTTGAATTGGAAAATCGTTTCTGTTCACAGACTGAGGGGATGAGGACGTAAAACCAATGGCTGTGAACGTGGTCTAAACTGGATGAATTGAATCCTCGGATGATGGTACAGTCCCAGGATTAAATCAGCTGGTGAGTCTCATGTTCATAAAAATGCAGTCATGGCTCCTTTCAGCCTGTGATGACAAAATAAACTCATTTTTCTGACACCTACTATGAGAGCCTGACCACAGCTCCTGATTCTGACTTCATTCTGAGGCTAGCTCATTATTAGTGCTTTATTTCACTGAGCTGTCACTTTGACATAACTGAACAATCCTTTTTACAGGTGGGAATGGGAGTGAAAACGGATGTCTGGATGAGAGAGGTTGGTTCATTTGCTGCTGATTGAAACATTTAAAGCCAATGATGACAGAACAAGTGAACTTTTCTGACACCTACTATGAGAGCTGAACCACAGCTCCTGATTCTAACTTGATTCTGAGGCTGCTGGTCTATTTCTTCACTATTTTATGCAGATTGTTTTAATCCTAACAGACTTTTGTTCCTCATGAATAGCTTGAAAGCCAGCGCAGAAGACCGCCTCATTCTGGGACTCCCTTTCATGGTAAACTCTGAAGTTGCATGGAATCAGCAAAGCTAATTCTTATTCTTACCTCAGATGTTCTATAATTAACTTATTCACTTTATAACTATATTTGTACCTTTTTCTAGATGACTAGTGAGATTTTTTTTGCAGAACTAGTGATGAATAAATCTTGCTGCCCTCTGTCCTGAGCGAGCAGAGTGCGCAGCCATTAGCCGCTACTAGCTTCTGCTTTCTAACCTCAACCCCAAAATAACCTGTGTACTTTTTGGAAAACAAAAAAACTGATTTATATTTGTAACATTTTTGATATCGACAATGTTTTTTGATATCGACAAGCTGATTTGCGGGTTAGTTACGCTTGAATTGCTGCTCTGTCATTGTTGCTATAGTTCCACCTTAAATGTTTTTGGTTTGCATTCAAATGTGATTCTGACAAAAGGCGTCCGTCCATCGCATGCAGGCTGAAAGATCGAATCTGAAGAACAACCTTTTTGTTCAGTTGTATTTGCTGAATAAACCACTGAACAGTATCTAAAATGCTTTGTGGATTTTTTTCTTAATTGTAAAGTTGCTTCTAATGAGGCATTATATATTTTCAACTTATTGAAAAGTAAAAAGCTTGTTCTAAGTCTTGCAGGGGTCAATCAAAACTGAACTGTGAACAATTCTATTTGTATTTTTTTTTTATTTATTTATTTTTGTTGGGGAGGGGGGAGGTGTTTTTGTTTCTCTTATATACTTATGTAATATGATAGACAACACAGTGTACAATGTTATATTTCCTATGTTTGTGAAACACAAAACTAATAAAAATGTTTAAACAAAAAAAAAGTTATTTAAAAGTATATATACATTTTAGTGAAGCATTAAAGATGGGCTAAGAATGAAATAGGAAATTATGTCTTTTAATCTTATTGATACTTTTGCTCCTTCAAACATCTGAGTAATGGAGCAAACCTTCCTCAGGTCCATGTCAGCCGCTGGAAGATGATGGAATTGCCTCCCTGCAGTTATTTCAGCTAATCTTTTCCCCAGAATGTTAGTCATCTTGAGTATCCAAATGTTTTCATATAATTGCAGGTCATTCTTGCTTGTAAAAACAAGGTGAGGTAGTGCTATTTGTAAGTGGTTCTAGCCAGACGTCCTTCCATTTTCTTACCCCCTTGTCCGCAGTGGGGTCAGCAGGGGTCCAGGTGCCCATCTAAAGTGAGACATGTTGTGTCTCACTGGAGATGGGGCAAACAACTATGCACCCAAGGAGAATTTAGAGAGAATTAATCTTAACAGTCCTGATTTTGGACGGTGGGAGGAAGCTGGAGTACCTTGAGAGAACCCACCATGCACAGGGAGCACATGGAAACGCCATGCTGAAGGACCTCTGTCCAGGAATTGAACCTAGAACCTCGTTTGCAAGACAAGCGTTACCAACTGCGTCAGCATGTAGCCTTGAGTCAGTGTTCATAAAACAGAAATGCATCAGAATAAAGTATTAAACCAACTATTTGTAATTCTGGTGGTCTCTGGGAGCCAGTCCTGCTTTGCCAGCCTCATTCTGCTTGCTCTCCCTCCGGCTCTCTGATTGGCCAGCCGCAGCGCAGCCGGGATTTGCATGCAGGTGTCCTGAGCCTCGTTTGATAGTCAAACAGGCAACTCGACTTCCTCACTCCGCATCCAGCATCCAGTCGCAGTCTGAGGAGAGCAGGGGAGTGCCGACCGACAAAACACCGCCTACGCCTCCTCTTCCCTCGCAATAGCCGGAGAGAAGCCACTTTCAGCCGATACTGTCGCCGTTGAAGCCCGATCATCGTCCTCCATCCACCGGTCCTCTCGGCAGACCGGAAGGTAAGACTGCGGCCACCCATTCTGGCGATATGTCGGCCTGGGATGCTGTGGTTTATCACAGGCCTTCGACAGCAGTTCTCCCACAGAGCGGCAAACATGTATTCATTGATGAAAGTGATCAGCATCTCAGCTTCTGGAGGATGGAGACGGAATGAAAGGCAGTGGGCCAACATGGATCCATGGCTGCTTTCCTCCCGTTTTATCGCGACCGAATTATACCCGTGATGAGGCGCAATGATCAAAAATAATTCAATTAAATAGTAAGTGTGAAAATGAAAGTTGATAGAATAGGGAATATGCTGAGAGCTTTGTAAATAAATAAAGATAACTTCACTGTAAGTAGCAGGGCTTGTAGAGCTGTGGATCCAGATTTGACAGGTTCAGCCGCTGAGATATGGCTCAGGCATAAAGAACCAAACACAGTACAGTGTTTGGTTCTTTATGCAAGTACTGTGATGAAAATGGATCTCAGGATGTGCAGTAAGTCTTGACATATTTAAACATTTCAGTACAATGTGCTTTATTCAGATTTGTATGATGTATATGTAATAGCGTGTACAGTGCCATCCCAGCTATATGCTGGTTTTTAAATGAGTTCGTTTTTGAAAATTAAAATTTTTAGTTGAAGAAAAAAAAATTGTATGGAAAATCAAAACTTAAGGAACTAACCAGTTGTTCAACAAATATCGTTTCTGATAGATGGGTGTTTAAAAGGGAAGGATTTCATATGCTCGCTCAACATATTTAAAACCCTTGGGGTTTTTCTTTCTGGGGAATGAGCAGATTGAATTTGTATGTGGTGAACCATTTCCATACTGACTGAGCCTCACATTCCAATCATTTTCCTGCTGATTTAACAAGTTGAGATATTCCAAACTGTTCATAATGCAACACATTCTAATGCACTGGTAATTCAATTTTTAGTTATTAGTGCCTTAATAATTTTGTAAAAAGCTGAACATTGCGGTATCTTGCCGCCCCATGTTTCACCAACACTGTTAATGGTGAGGATGGTGTGCCCACTAACCCAACGTCCCACAGCGACCTGGGACATTGTGGGCCAGTGGGCAGAATACTTCAAAGACCTCCTCAATCCCACCAACATGCCTTCCATTGAGGAAGTGGAGACTGGGGACTCCACCAATCTCTGGAGACGAGGTCGCCAAAGTGGTTAAGAAGCTCCACGGTGGCAGGGCCCCGGGGGTGGATGACATTCACACAGTGTTCCTTAAAGCTCGATGTTGTGGGGTGATGTTGGCTGACGCGACTGCAATTTTTCATGGACATCAGGGAAAGTCCCCCCCTGGATCTGCCACACACACACTGTTCAAAAAAGGGGATGACCAGACGTGTGCTCCAATTACAGAGGAGTCACACTAGTAAGCCTCCCTGGCAAGTTCTGGCAGGGGTCCCGGAGAGGAGGGTCCGTTGGACTGTCGAACCTCATAATCAGGAAGAGCAGTGTGGTTTTTGCCCTGGTCGTAGAACACTGGACCAGTTCAACACCCTCAGCAGGGTCCTGGAGGGTGTTGACCCAAGTGGCTGAGGGAAGTCTGGGCCTCCCTTCCTGGCCTTGTCTAAGGATTCCATTGCAGCAAGATTCCATTGGCTTGAATCATGCTGTTTCACGTGTGTGTGTGTGTTTATACCACAGCAGCTGCATCATGGCAGAGTTAGACGTCCCACAGATGAAGAGAGAAGTGGAAAGTCTTCAGTATCAACTGGCGATCAACAGAGAAAAATCCTCCATCACTGTAACGGAGTGAGTGGAGCATGAACTGTCTTTCTTTCTCTCGCTCAAAACACACACACATGTTTGCGTGGCTATCTTTGTGGGGACTTTCCATTGATTTCCATTCATTTCTACATCCTAAACCTTATCCTAACCCAAATCTTTACATACCTATCCAAAACTCAATTCACACCTTAGTCCTAAATCTCACCCATGACCCAAAAACATTTCCCCTTGTGGGTACCAGGCTTTGGTCCCCACAACATAGTATGTGTCAGGAAAATGGTCCCCACAAGGTATTACTAACAAAGAAAATCACAAACGCACACAAACGTTCCATTCTGGAATGAACTTTCACGGTGACGATGGTTTGTTTCTGCAGGCTGGTGAAGTGGATCGAAGGCTGTGTTTGTGAAGATCCATTTCTGAACCCGGAGCTGATGCGAGCCAACCCCTGGGTAGAAAAGGGCAAGTGTGTGATCCTCTAATAGTCACACACACAATCAAATATGTATATAATCTGAAAAAACAAAAAGCATGTACTCTCACACCGCCACGCCACACGAATGCACTCTCAAACATCATTGCTTTAATTTCTGTTTATTTATTTGGAGATTTCTGGATGCTGTTGCTTGACGTGTCAGACTGAGTGTGCAACATGGAACATCTTTCCTTGGGTCTCGCAATGTTCTTTTTTTGGCTCTTTACACTGTTAATCCAAATAAAGACTGTTTGAATGAACAAAGCATGTTGATGTCGAACCATTTATGCAGGAGGAGGGCTACTGTAGCTCTCTGATGTAAACATTGCGTCTGACCGCATTAGACATGCCTTCGTTGAAACGGAACCACACATCACTGTTTCCCACGGCTGTTCCCATCGCAACAATAGCACACTTCTCACCTGCAGGGACAGGAAACATCTTTTAAACATCAACTCTAACGTAGCAAATCTCAGATTACCAACAGAAACTCCAAAATGAGGCATTTAGCCACAAAAATGATGTCTGAGTAAGGCAACTGACAGGAACAATGTCCCACTCCATGAAGTCTGCTGAGGAGAATATTATTCAAGTCCTGGCTGACGGCCCAAAATGAAATGTCTTAACACAAACCTACATGCTGCAGAGCAACAATCTGTTAGGTTGTGCTGAACCTCTGCGCACCCCATTGAAGCATTTCTATGTACAGAGGCCTTAGTCTTTACTCGACCAGTCGTCAAAGGTTCAATTCCCGACCTGGCGACCTTTGCCGTATGTCTTTCCCCCTCGCTCATTACCAACTTTCCTGTAAATTAACTATCAAATTAAGGCCACTAGAGCCAATAAAGCCTTTTTTTAAATACTGCTTTCTTGGCCAGACTGGGTGACGAGGTCATTTATTTACAGTAAACCTAAATCGATGGTGATGACACACATCGCTTGAATTAAAGAGGGTTGTGATTTCTTTTGCTAGATTTTATGTCACTATGTGTTGACTGTAAGCACAAAAACTTAAAAACAATAAATTATCAAAATATTGTAATATTGTAGACATGTCAAACTGTGATAAAATAAAACAGAATGAAATGGAACCCACAGCAGACAGCTTTCCATTTAATGGCTCAGAAGTAAACCAGGACAGATCACAGGTTTAATTCAAATTAAGTTTAGCTCCAGTCTTATGAAAACAAATATCTCAGTAGGACACATATTTACACATAAATACCACTGAAATTGTAATATTACTATTTCAGTGTTAAAATATATTCAAAATACATTTTAACCCCTTAACCTGCAGTAGAATCCATTGTATTTTCCAGGGGTGAAATTTAAGGGTTTTGACTCTGCTGGTGTCCATTATTTTGCTTTTATATGGCAGGCTAGAGCCCCCCCTTTTGATTGACACCGCATTTTACCAATGATATTATGAAATGGCTTTTTCCGAGCCATTGATATCCAGAGAGCGACTTGAGCTCGTTTCGACATGCCTGTATTCTTTGTGGAATATTTCTGACTAGTCAACTCGGAGACTAAATCTAAAGCCACCGACGTGTAGCCAATACGTCTCCTGTCATTAGGAGATAAGGCACGTTGGGGTTTGATTTGACATGAATCCACCAGCTGCATTCATAACCATGTGTAATCTGTGCGCCCTTGCTGCGTCAAAGTCAGGCTCTATGCTGTAAAAGTGTTACAGGACTTTTTCTCACCAACGGTGAACCGTGGAGATACGATTCTGCCTGGTCATGACCAGGGGGCCTGGTCAT